ATAGAGAGAGAGAGAGAGAGAGAGAGAGAGAGAGAGAGAGAGAGAGAGAGAGAGAGAGAGAGAGAGAGAGAGAGAGAGAGAGATGGTTGGCTATCCTTTTAGTACGTGCTAATGGGTATCTTGGTCTAATGGAATGGGCTCCAGGTACTGGCCCTGGGTTCAGTTGCGGCTGGCATAGCTGTTACCCTAGTACAGGGTAGACCTACCGTCCACCCGACTTCCACTAAAGCAGAACTCAGAAGAAGTAATAATGATGGTGGTAATAACCAGAAACTGAGATTGTTTAATCGTGGAAAGGCCATATCAGGCGCTCCAATGACAATATGAACAAACCAGGCGCTCCAATGACAATATGAACAAACCAGTTTCCAAACCCAAAAGTTGCACGCTGCACCCTGAAGTTTATCTGCCATAAAACGACTTTGAGAGTCAGCCTTAATGGCCTCCAATTGTTCGATTGGGTGGGTCCAGTTGTGGCTGGCTTAGCTGTCACCTTAGTACAGACTTATCGAGGTATCGGAACGGGCTTCCAGGAATTGGTCCAGGGTCAGTTGTCACCCTAGTACTGGCTGAGATCATAACTAGGCTGTCAAATTGGCTGTGCTAGACAGGAGTCTAGGGTTCCCCGGCGAGTCATAGGTTAGACCTTGTATGGGGAGAGGCCATTAGACACTGCCTATGATACCTGGAAATACACGCTTAGATTCCACTAGGACGCCCGGGTCTAGTTTGGGCGACGCCCCGCACCCCCTCATGAGGTCTGCAGTAAGATGTTCATGCCTAGCTCCCAAACTACCCGTATGATGGGCTTGTGTGACTCGACCAAGGCTGAGCAGGGCCACCTGTTCAGCCCGGGTGCCTGCAACCGCTGTCTGGTCGGGTCACCCCGCAGAGATGGTGATGGGTGATGGTCTGAGGAGAAGACAGACTGTATTTCAAAAAACAAAAGCTGCAACCGCTGTCTGGTTGGGCCACCTGAGGAGAAGACAGACTATTTTTTTTTTAAAAAAGGAAAAAAACAACCCCTCAGAGATGGTGATGCCTGCAACCGCTGTCTGGTCGGGCCACCTGAGGAGAAGACAGACTGTATTTAAAAAAAAAAAAGGAAAAAAAAAGCCGGTCAGGGAAACACAAAGCCCCAAGAATAGAAAAGATGACAGGCCACAAACAAAATGAAAACTATGAAAAAGATGGAGAAGGACAAAACAAAAAAGACAGCACGCCCGAGAACAACTGCGCAGCCCGTCACCCCTGGCCCCCAACCCCCAAAAAAGAAACAGATGCGACAAGCCCACAGCTTGCAGCACCTGGGCCCACGCCCTTTCTGGCCCCAAGGGGTTTCTGGTGTCCCACAAGACCCAGGTTAGACTTCAATAAGACATAAGCTGGCAACCAGGTCCGGATGGACGATCCATCAGGATGAGTGGGGCACAGTGGCCAAGGTAGAACTAGAGTCGTAAGTAACCAATGAAAAACGAAACCTCAGTTCTCCAAAAAAGATAGGGGAAAGCTTCAGTTCAGGTAATGACCCATTAGACCACCAGTACCCCGGCCAGCTATTAATGCCTAGCGTAAATTCGCCTTGCACGCCAAAAAAAAAAAGAACCAATGCGGGCCTGCTTTTGGCTGGCGCCGCCAGCCATATCGCCCTGGTACCCTAACGCCCGGAAAATGCGGCCGTGTATTTGTTTTTCAAGCCGGGGCGGGTACTGGTGGCTTAACTGCAAATACTGCCACTAATCATGGAAGCAGCACGATGGCTGAAGAAGAGACGTAAGGCTTTTGGAGAGTAAGGCTTTTGGAACATATACCCTTTCTTCTGAACCTGCAGTGTCCAGTGTGTGGTGATAGCCTGTTTGACTGAGTACTTGACCTCAGCTCGAGTCATGCGAGGGGTAAGATGGTCAACTTGCCTAACTAATGCATTCTGCAGGGTCCATAAAGTCCACAGAATAGCACCTCGAATAGTCTCCAACAACTTGAAGTTTCAATCCTAAATGGCTTGAACCACAGTTTATGGTCCCGTTGTGAACCTGGTCCTGGTCCCATGATACACCTGATCCGACTGTGGATCTGGGCCAACCGTGCACCTGGTTCATCCATGGTTGTAGTAGGTTTGCAGTTTTGTGGTGGTGGAATCATGAAAGTGGGTGTTTGAGACGCATTTGCCAACACGGTTGCAATGGCCCTCTGGGAGAACGTCAGAGTTTCAGACCTCCCTCTGGTGCTGAGCCAAGGTAACACTTGCTCATTGGGCGGCTTCCTAACCTCTTTAACACCCCTCTT